CCATACACTGCATCGCATCAAATTGAAACCATCTAAAACGTTTCAAAGAATCGAGGGGATGGAGTGGCAGAGGGAAGCTCGTATACATCAACTCACTTAACATCACAACGATTAGATTAAAAAAAAACTTCTATTAAAACATGATATGTCCAATAAAAATTGTTGTACAAACATGTCTAAACGAGCGATACATTGACCATTTTAGGAATAGTGCAAAGCAATGGTGTCTGCAGTAATACACATTCTACATTTGAAAATCGCCCTTCACTTGTTTTATAATGCACTGCATGTCATCAATAGTGTCCATTTCATTTTTTCTATCCCTCTATACCTCTCTCTTTCTCGCTTCGTTTTTATCGTCCATATCACATTTGGGTTGTATCGTTGTCGATTTTAGCGAGCGACGCATGCCAATGCCGAGAATATTTGGTCGTGTAAACTTTTATTTCATTTGGGTGAAGTTGTTGCGATTTTTGGTTGTTATGACATCAAAATTGTTTGTTTGATCGCTATGTTTATGGTTATGATGTTCAAACAATTTCTCTCCAAATTTTGACCTTTTTTTACGATGGGATTTTTGTCAAATAAAAACACCGAATTGACGAAGTCGCCACATCTGCATCGGCGCACTTTAGCAATACGTATACATAATATTCACAGTGTTGAGGTCGTTTCTGTAATGGCAATGAATGAAGTGACACAAACTCAAAGAAAACTAACACTCTCTGTAGCAACTGGAACTGAAGATGATGAAGAAAAAAAAGAAAACTGAGAGAAAAAAGTTACTATCGTTTACTCATAAAAACTCCAGGCACTGTGTAAACAAAACTAAGCATTTCTCTTGGTTCTCGATTTTTCTTCTTCTTGCTATGAAGTTCTTGTGCCATCGAGACTTATCCTGAGTTAGTTGTGCGCGTGTTGTTTTGACATTTGGCAAATTTTTGCCCATCATTTTGACACGACAACCGAATAAAAAGCATCAAGCAGCCAAACAGAAATGTGAAACTAAACAGAGTGAACACCACTTGCCGAGCAATAATCCAGAGCAACACAAAACAGTTAACGAATCGAGACGAAAGCTATAACCATCACAATATCATGCCAAAAACTGAAATACCATAAACGAACAAGCATTTGTAAATATCGTTCTGTGGCACTTTTAACGTTTCGCAAAACATCAAGAAAAAAAAAACAAACACACAAACCGAAAATCAACTGGGAAAATGTGGATGCAAAATTATTTGGCTTTTAAGCGGTTGTATGACGCTGTTTTGGTGAACGTATCTTATTTGGGATTATCTTGTGATTAAGATAGTTTATTCAGAGTTATTTTATGCCATCTCACGGTTTCATGATGATGTTGAAACATTGTATTGCTTTGTTTTCATCGTTTTTTATTCGTCAACAACAAAAAAAAAATCATTTATTCATGACTTACAATGCGATGCATTTGTCGTAATGTGTCTGGTAATCAAATTTAACGACCAAATTGTTTTTTTCACTCATCAAAACACTCGTACGAGGCATACATGCATGCATATTTCCGTGGCGATGACTGATGGCTTTCGCAAAGAATTGATTGAAAAACGGATCCGAATCATGGTGATGAATATTTATTGAGATTCCATTTTTTTTTCGGATCATAACGTTGTAATGCATTGGAATTTCAATTTTGATAGGAATTTTCGGCAAATAAAATGACGCACCACCAAAAGAGAGTGAGTGAGTGAGTGAGAGGGGGAAGTTGAAAGAGAAAGAGAGCAGTTTAAATAATGAATATCAGCATGAGATTACAAATCATTTAAATACCGCAGCATATGACACAAATGGTGTGATAAATCCAACCAAAAGAGACAATACGTAACCAACATATCAAAAATAAAACATAAAGCAACGTACGAGCAGTGTACATCCGATCGCATCCAGAACAAATAAAAACATACATAAACGAAATTAATTTGCAACATAATAAATTTTTGAGCAACATTTTTATGTGAATACATTTTCGACCGATAAATCACAATCGACCGGAAAATGGCAGAGGAAAAGACACTGAAACTGATTTATGTATCGATCGAATGAGGCAAAAGCACATCAGAAATGCCAAAAAATGCGAGAATTATATGAAAATACTATCCTGTGTGTGTGTGGTTCTGTATCGGTTAGATAGTAGTCATAGTTTGGTTGGAAAAATCTCGCACCCGTTTGCTTGTGCTAATTCATTATTCCCGGGGATTTTTTTTTGTTCAATTGAATACACATTTTTCGCGGCTGCTGCGTTTTCAAAAAAAAGTGTTACGCGAAACAGAAAAAAAAGAACACACGAGAATAATGTCAAAGAAGTCGGTCAAAAGAGTAAAATATTCATTCGCAAGCCATAATCGGATTGAAACAATCGGCCAAATGTAAAAATAAACATCTCTTTTCTGGAGCCAACGGCAAAATTAAAAAATACTGATGCTGAACGCCAACAAAAAAAAACACAAATAAAACACAAAAACATCTGAAAAAAAAATCTAATTTAGATGTCACAAACGAAAACATACGCATTGAGTACGACATATCCAGAAAAGTCGACAAATTTCAAAGATACTTTTTATTTCATTTCGATCTGTTTTCTAAACCAAACAATTTTCCAACTGACGTTATTTTTTTTTGTTGTTGTCAATACATATGTGTGCGTGTTTGGAAAAAATATCTGAGTGAGATTCAGAGACGGTTAATGGCCAAATTGAAGTCGCACATTTATGAAAGCACAGAGTATGCTAGCGAAACAGTTCAAGCTTTTCGCTTTTATCGAAATATGAGAATTTGGCTGGTGAATGTGTGTTTGTGTAAAAGAGCGCTGTGTGTGGTTGAAAACGAAAAATAGTGCAGATGATGATGGCACCATATTGTCTGAAACGAAATTGACAAAGAGAATGAGGAGCAAAGCATACGCGTTTCGAAACATACGCACCGAATAGAAAAGCATTCCAGCCCGGAGAGTCAAAGCCATTATAAGGATAGATGTTGGTGCGGCGCTAGCAACACATAACGATGTATCGTAGGGTTTGCGCGCCGTTCACTTTTGTTTACTGAGATATTGATGTGGTTGTATCGCATGGCATATATGTGGTCACGCGTTGACCTTTTTTCGGGGCTCAATTCCATCGCTTGCTCGCGTCTCTCTTTTTTTTCATTTATTTTACATTTTTGCTTTCGAAATCAGTACCGTGATAATGTCATTGTTTTTCGTTCCATGCGAATAACATTCGATTTTTGGCTGGCATTATCATTCCCATTCTCGTGTTCGCATTCACTTTTTTCTATCTTTGTTTCTGCTCTCAATACGATCGAAATTCATTTTCTCGGTCGTGCATTCACTCGTTACTTGCTGTTCAGTGTTTACGATTTGCTGCCAAAAAGAGTGGATGGAAATGAGATTGCCATTACGTTGTTTTCTATGCATCGTATGACGAGAAACCAAGTAGAAACACGCACACAAAATAAAACAAAATAATATTGAATGTTCGAACTGTTGTTCAACATCCACCGCATCAAACACAAATTCGGCAATGTTCTAATAGGATAAGGCTCAATATTTTTCACATTACTTGGTTACATGGTTGGTGCTGTAGGTATCCTCGCTTCGACTTCATTTGACCATTCGTTTCGGTTCGCCATTGGGTGGCGTCAGCTGTTACCACTTTACCATAAAGTGTTTATTCACTAAACTGATGAATTCCGTGATGACCGATTCTTATTGGAAACTACAGTATTATTTCGGGCATTTTGATCGGATGTCAACGATTGCATTTGCGCCTCGATGGGAATATTTAGTTTCTCTATTGATTGAATGGATTTGCTTGAAATGATGAGCATCTGCTATTGAATGTAAATAAAAATCGTTTTTCATCTGCAGTGCAGGAATTGAAATGGCCATTGAAATTGAACGGTCAATTGATGGTCATGAATGGATAACGCTACTTCATTTTCTCGTTTGATTTGCAAGTTCATTGTTTGAACATTATTCTAACAATGAACTCGGGGGAGAATTCAAAGCAAGGCTCGTTAACGTTGACGTGTGAATGAGTGCGTTTCGTATTAATGCAGTGTTTGTTGTTTTGTTAGTTTTATATTTGGTGCTGAAACATTACGTTAAATGTAAAAGATCACGTTCGTTGTTATATAATCTACCTCTGCGTTCGCATTACCTTCATATCAGCGAGTCTTGATTCAAAGAATAAATGTAAAGCAAAGCGGATGTTGATTCAAAACAGAAGAGAAAAAATCATCTTGCGAGATAATATTTTATGAAAGCTAAATGATTCTAGTAAATTGAAGAATTTTCTGTGAGCAATTATCATAGCATTTCCTTGATCAGAAAAGAGTGCTACCAAAGTAGCTAATTATTTTTAATTTAAATGTTTGTCATCAAAGTCAAAAATGTCGAGATAGAGCCTCTCGAAACTAAATCTAGTTGCAAAATGTTGCGGAAGTTATTACTATGAAAAATGCTGTCATCAGCAAATTATAGACTTAATTGGTACAAAAATATAGACTGAAAATATAATCTTTGATAAAATCAACGGGTTGGCGAAAATGAGATTCATTATCCGCTTATTTTAATCAGCTCAGCGTTAAAATCAAACATGAAAAAAACGTGGCCCAATTAGTGTAGTTCTTTGAAAGATAAAGAAGTTTTTCCATCAAAGATGATAAGATTAGAGAAAAAAGCGCTTCCTACATACGATGATTCCCTTGGGATTTATAATAACTTAAGGGAAATTTAAGGAAACTCCGTTGAATCTTTTTGTGACATTATTGAATTCACCATACACATTCTCCTCGTTTTATTAAAGGAATGTAAATGATCTATTAAAAGTGGTGTGTTGGCAGGCTTTAATATGACTATGAGATTTTAACATGTGGCTTGATGCTCTCTTATATTTTTATCGATTTTTATTTCACGTCTTTTTGTATGCTTTTAACATGATGTTTTTCATTTTTGTTTTCAGAAAAATATTTCGATTCGTGATGGTTATTGATCCATAAAACAAAGTAAGTACTAAAAAAGACATTTTTAAAATATGAGTAATTAAAAAATTATATCGTTTGCATGTTAAATTTCTTGTGGAAAATTATTTTCAATTGTATCGAGAAAAAAACCCGTAAAGCGGTCCCATTTTCAATTTATTGTCAATTGAGCGTTTCAACCAAAATTGTTTATCTTCTCAGTACTTACCTGAACCACACGACCTAATACAATATCCTTTTTATTTACCAAATCTCAACATTTTCGATGAAATTATTCAATGGATAAAACCACGAACAATAGAATGATATCGTGACTGTGAAAGCATTGACCCAAACAAAAAAGGCAAAATATGATCTAACTTGTGCTAACTTTTGATTGGGATTGTTATTCAACAAAATTGTTGTCAATTTTTCCGTATCACAAGTAACTTTGGGTTGATCTTGAGTCTCCCACTCTCGTTCGCTTGAACAAAACAAACACAAAACCCAAAATATACAGCCAATAACAATGTCATGCGAGTACTTACGAACCGTGCTCAAGAAGAAGAAAAATGTGAATAACAACCAAATGCCCGTACAACTACAACACGTATTCTATATAACTTCGGTGAAACGGCGATTATTGTTTCCATTGTTACATGATTTCACTTTCTATTGTTGTTTTGGGGTGCTCAGTATTGTTCATTTTGTTCTATTCATGCTACGACTTTAATTCTTTTTCTCTTGTTGCTCATTCACTTCGACCTCCTTCCCCCCACCAAAAATAAAGTTGACCGTAAACGATGAACACACGGATAACAATATACATCGCAGACCTGACGTAAAGTTTGGCTCCGATTTCAGTTCCTCGTTATTTTATGAACTTTCAATGTCAACTGAGAGTTAACTTGTCCAAATTTAGTAGAGATTTTATTGCCATCTAAAATACTAGTATCATTTATGCGTTCACTTTAGTTCGAGTCAAAGGAAATCTATGGCAGTAAAATACAAAATGTGTGTGTCGAAATGACATGCTAAATTGAAATAATAAATGATATAAGGCAACCATTTTTGCTACAAATAAGTTACGCCAAGATCCTGAAGCCTTTTTAACTTGTGATTAATAGAAAATTCACTTTCACATGCTTTTGCATAAAGTTAGCATGAGATTTTTCGGTGGTGTTTTTCCTCAAAATAAACTAGTTGTTCTCGAAATAACACTGTGGTGTAATAGTCTGTTAGTGATTGCATACTGCCAGTAGATTATTTTAGTGAAAACGTGTGAATTTGTTGTGTATGCCAACTATTTGGCATGACCTTTTAATGGTAATTTCAACTTTCGATAACATTTAATGTTACTTAGGTGACCGTTTTAGCTGTGCTCAGCAATTTTACCAAATTTCCCAGATTGTTGTTCTCGTTTCGGTTTTTCCTCATATTTATCTAGTTTGTTTTTACGGAAAAAGTTTTTCGCTTCGATCTTTATTTTCAGATTAATGTCATTTTGGACAGAGTCAACTGTTCCTTATCGACACAAGCAAAGAGAAAATTCATTACATTTTTTCGTCTCTCTCTCTCTCTCTCTCTCTCTCTCTCTCTCTCTCTCTTGTCATAGAAAGTATGTTTTTCTTCGAAACAAAAAAAAATGGGGTAGAAAAAAATGAATACCATTCAAGGGCAAGAGATTATGTCATAATGTACTTCGGAATCAGCGATAGAAGGCGCACATTTGAAGTGAAACAAATCCGCAAGTAAAACTCGAAAAGCGCAAAAAATGTAATTTTTGCCTAAAAATACTTCGGTAAAAGATCAGTCAATGTTTGGTATGAGAGGGGCTAATTTCTGTTGTTTAAAGCATACTTTTCAAATCGGAATGTCCGCCACAAGCAATACAATAGACGCAACGTGTACGTATTATTCGAAGTAAAAAAAATCATTAAAATTCCACCAAAAACACATACAACCGAAATCCAAATGACGACATTTTCGGAGCCGCATCTTCTTAAACTGTTCTCAATGCAACGACTTTGTCATTTTTATATACGTAACGAGACAAATTAGCATTTAAATGGAAATGGAATAAACTCTGCATGTGTTTTACTAAACTTTTTGTTGTGCATTAAAATGTATTCGAAGTTCTTGCGTCGATTTCAAATGCTGCTGTGAACATGTTGCACGAAATACATGATGGAAGGGAAAAAAATCAATATAATGTTGGAGACAATGAGAAAAATTAAATGAAAACAAAGAATTGGGTGGAGCATATTTCGTAGCGTGTGATCAAAGCTTCATTTTCAGTGAAAATGTTACACCGCAAGTACTAACATTATTATTCATGCAATGTCTGTTGCGGAAACAGTTTTCCTTGCTAAATCGTTAATGTTTGTTCAGTTTTAAAAACCATTTACCAGTTGAAATGGCCATGCTTAACGACTACCGAAAATACCGCGCGTACACATTCAATTCAATGCTGATCATATTTGAACCTGAAATCCAACAACTATTACCGCTTTATTTACTCGTTTTAATGAATTTATTCTTGGTAGCCATAAGAAAATACCAAGAAAAAGAAATTTTGTGGAGCTTTAAAATTTAAATGACAACCATTGAAATGCTGAGACATACGTTTTCGTTAAGCGAAAGTTGTCGGTCATGGTCATTTGTAGAGCGAAATCGTGGGAATGACTTGTCAGTGTTCACAGTTTGTGCGCGCACAAGTGGTTGTCTAGCTCAAGTCAAAGTCAATTGACTCGATTCGAAATAAGTACGAGAAATTTGCAAGTTGTATATGTTTGAATGCCATACAATATTGATGATTTTCACAATCGATTTCATTTATTTTTGTGTTTTCTTGGCATCCAGAGACTACACAAATTCAATCACAACGCACCCACATCAACTGAATGATGTAAATAATTCGCATTCTGAATCGAAATCGTAGCACTGATTCAATAAATAAACGTCAACCCAACAAATTGGAATTGCTGGAGTCGACAAAGTTTTATCGTTTTGCTTCAGTCTTGAAACGATGCTGCACGATGTTTTTGATGGTGAATAATTAATTTTCTACTAAACATTTTCTCGCTGTAAGTGTATTTCTTACATTCATATCAATTAATATTTGTGTAAATAAAAGGAGTTGCATGTTGTGCACAATCAAAATGATGTTACAGAAGGATCGGCTCTAATGGAATCGCCAACGTAAAGACGGAAAACTACACGAGTTTCTTGCTGTGTGAGAGAGTGTTTTGCGCTCAAATCCAAAGCATATGCAAAACGAAAGCGGTGTGTGTGTGCGTGTGGTGGAAGGTGTACGGCGCACACAAGAGCGTCTAGGTACACGTTTAATTATTGTTTGCACACTGGATTACCATTAGAGTTGAAGTAAAAAGTTAAATGCGAAAAGCATTCGTAAATTTAAAGAGTAATAAACAAAACAAATGTCGGAATCAAATAGGAAATGTACAGACACACAACATAAGAATTTTCAAAAAGCATCTAAAACACATAAACATAATGAAGAACAGAAAATGTGATGGCACGGCTGCTACTGTTTATCCAAACCAAAATACATAGAGAGAAAGAGAGAAGCACGCGGTGCGGACGGAATGGAAAAGTGCACAAAAGAAAATATACCTACCTACGTATATGCTTTGGCCACTCAGCGTAAATGAGCGTCTTGAATCCGAGATTATGTTCATTATTAATTCTCTTTGGATGGCAAAAAGGATTCACTGTATTTGTTTTGTCAACGCTGTATGTGTTATTCACTTTAACCATGCTTTTTTAGTGTTTATCATACTGTTTCTATCCGGTAAACATTTATCATTTTTGAGTGTTTTGTATCTCTCTACTTCTTTTTTACATTGCTCAATGTCTATTTCTCATATAATTCTCCGGTGTTTTATTTGCATCACTTTGGTACGATGCGAGTCGTAAGTTGATATTTAACACAATATGAAATATAAAGTTTGTGTTTGTTATCGCTGCTTCTTTTTTTTTCTTTTTTGAAGCAAAAACCAGCGAGACTGAGTGGTTGCCACTAGCGTTTCGATATTAAATCTAATATTGCAAAAACATTCGCTAACGATGACAACAACAAAAACAACAACGACGACGACGACAATGATGACAAGTGGAGCGATGTGCGTTTGTGTTGCTGAGTGACGAAAAGCATGAAAAGAATAATAACGAGTCGAAATTATATTTTATTTTCCAATTTTCCAACGAACAAACAAACAAATGTACCAACCAGCAAATCGTAAACCAACGTGAATCACTGGCCACTGTATACCATAGCACGATGTACCGAGGAAAAAAAAGGTTATTTTCTGTGTGATTGTGTATTTGTAACGATAAAATGCTGGTTGCTTGTTTTTTCTTTCTTCAAAAGTTTAACCAGTTTGATGAGCACAGTAAATTAGATCAATGACATTGAACGGGGACTTTGAATGCGTACGGATGTTGAATCGAAATATGGCCGCAAGAAATCTTTGTACACAAAAACGTTATTGAAATCAAATTTTCCGCAATTGCTTTAAAGCTTCTTTAAATTTTATGAAGCTGTTGCTTTTATTGTATTGCTCAAGCGGTAAAATAGATTTTTAAATTTCATTCAATCTGACATAAAATGCCGTTGACACAAATCATAACTTTTTCATAGGCCATACGCTGGCCATCATTAAGATCGATTCAAAGACACCATCATTATATCATTTATCATCATTCGTTCTTATCGGTACAGGTGAGAAATCAGACACCGGACACTTTTGCATATTCACTGGTGTGCGGACATTGGCAAAGTAAGTAATTTACGGCCATTGCAAATGATAATGTTTTTATCTCTTGAAACCATTTCCCACGCTAAAATGAAATGAAATGATGTGTCATAAACATGGACGCTCATCGCTCACTCACACATACACAATGTTCCGGCATCGCTGTGTACAAAGCTGCGTAGAAAATTCATCAAGTGCGATGTGAATGTGGCACGTGGAATAATTATGCACATGAAATAAATTCCCATTAGATACCTTTGAATGCCA